ATTTCATTCTCATGAATTAACATCTTTCAATTTATATATAATTTCTTGAATTCCGAATGCTGTACAAAATTGACTATCTTCCATCATACGTGTACCAAAGTGCATGTATACTTGCATACATATATACATATATACACACACACACACACACACACACACATATATAAAATTACTGTTATCCATGCTAAATCCATGCCACATGCTAAATAAATAATTACTATAAATACTGTGTTAAATAGAAATACAAATAAACCACACATGCTTTGACAACTAAGAAATGATAAAACCTATCATTTGTTATTTCTGTTATTTGCTATTACAATATATTGATGTTTAATTATGTTGCATACCCAAAGTCACTTTTACAAGATGGGCAGCTGTAGAAAACTAATAAATAAATATCAATCAATCCTGGGATTGACTCTTTTTGTGCCAAATCTTCTTGTTCCCTAAGATATGATGAAAAGGCCCTTTTTCATATCCCAAATGTGGTAGAGAGACAGTTCAAGCGGATGAGAGAAAAACTTTTCCAATTTTGGAATTCCCTGCCTCAAAAGACTGGCTTGGAAAAGTTTTATTAATATTTTCTAATCTGATCCACAAATAATCTAACTTTTACTTTGTATTATGCTTTTGCTAGTATATATCTACCGGTTCTGTGGGCATGGCTTGATGTGCGTGGTGTGGCTTGGTGGCAGTGGCTTGGTGGGCGTGGCAGGGGAAGGATACTGTAAAATCTCCATTCCCTTCCCACTCCTGGTAAGGTTACTGCAAAATCCCCATTCCCTCCTGATCAGCTGGAACTTGGGAGGCAGAGAAAAGATGGGGGTGTGGCCAGTCAGAGGTAGTATTTGAGTAGTCTCCGAACTACTCAAAAATTTCTGCTACTGTTTCTCCAGAACTGGTCAGAACCTGCTGAATACCATCTCTGATACCTCCCTTGTATTTATACTTTCATATTTTTCCCAATATCATTAGCTGATTCTAATGGTGGTTTAGCCAGCCTTAATGAATAAACAAATTACATGAATGAATAAATAAATAAATCATCGGGACAACAGGAAACTAACTGCAAAAGAAGCTGTTTAGAGAGTGTCTTTTAAAATAAACATAGATCCTAGTTTTAAATTTAAAAGAAGACAACCAAAGAAGAGGATAAGGAAAGTGTCACCACGTTTAAAAATAAAACGATGGTGTCACGAAGTTCAAAGGCATACTTTTCAAAAGTTCTTGATCAGGACAAATGAAAGCTACAACTGAAGCTAAAGCCTTGTTCCTTGAATTGTAGGAACATGTTGAAAGAGTCAGATCTTGTTAGACAGATTTTCCAGCTATCCTTAAACCAAAAATAACCCCAGCTTCCTTATTCAGCAGTTTGTATACGATATGTCTTTGCATACGTGCCTGCATTACACTTCAAATGTGCCTTTCCTTTTAGGAACTTGTACATCATAACCTCAACTTGCCTTTCCTGAAGCATTTCACAAAATGGATTTTTTTAATCGTGAAAAATACCATGTTTACAACACATTGAAATATATGGCACAGTACAACAATGGAAATGTCTACATTGAGGCACTAATTCATCTCAGGAGATCAAGTATAAAGTTCTTTCTCCAGTCCAGCCAACTTTAATCCATTTGCTTGGATTCTGAATGGGAGGAAACCTTTTTTCTTAATTCTTAAACTGTAACAAAAATTCACAAGAACAGGATGAGACAAATGTTTGAATGAAAGATTGTCCATCATAAAGTGTAACTTGCTATGTTGCTAGACGATTAGATCTCAGTGTTGTTTTTAGAAAGAAATTGCCTGTGTTGGACAAGGGGAACAGGTTCAATCATGAAGAAGAAAATGGAGAAGAAAGAGTTTATCTTTTCTTCCTCCTAACAATGTAAATTTGTCACCCCTCCTGGGTAAACCAGACAGGAAACACAACTAGATGATCTAATCCTGCTTATTATAGGGTGACATTCATGGAAACATACAAGTCAAAGTCCAAACTTCCCATCTTGACAACAAAGGTGGGTCCTTCCTAAATTTCATTCTCTGTTACTCCATTGGAGTCTTCCATTGCCATTTTTTGCCTTTCCAGATTTGTGTTACTGTCTTTCAGGTCAGGTTATCTTGATCAATGGAAACGAGTGGGCAAACTGTAATGAGAGAGACCTTATACATATAGCTTTCTTGGTAAAAATACAGACGTGGTTAGTCATTGCTTTCTATTGGTGGTATTGGTTTTGGAGTACAGGATTGTTGTTGTTGTTTTAATCTCCCAGTCTTCCCTGGGATTTGATCTCCAATTTAACTGCCAACCAGATCCAATCCTCATATGAGGCTAAAACATATGAAGAACAGTTACAGGATTGGATATGTCTAGTTTAATGAAAATAAGGATTAGGGGAGACATGACAGCAATGTTCCAATATCTGGTGGCACTCCTACAAAGACGAGGGGGGCAATCTATTTCCCAAAGCACCAAAAGGTAAGACACGAAACAATAGATGGAAACTAACCAAGGAGAGAAGCAACCAAGGACTAAGGAGAAATTTCCTAATGGTGAGAGCAATCAACCATGGAACAGTTTGCCTTCAAAAGTTGTGGATGCTCCATCACTGGAGGCTTTCAAAGAGATTGGACAACCATTTATCTGCAATGGTACAGGGTCTTCTGCTTGAGCAGGGGTTTTGATTAGAAGACCTCCAAGGTCCTTTCTAGCTCTACTATTCTATGTCCATCAAAGATCAGTCAATGTCTTCTAAAACCCATTTCCTGTTAGTTACTATACATTAAATAATATTCAGCACATCTCAGGATGTAAAGTTGATGTGTTCCATTTTCTTTTGTTATGATTCTTTGCTTTTTATTTTGATAAAGTAGGTGCATGGCTATCCAACACTGTGTGGAGTTCTCACAGTAGCACCATGATCATGTTAAACCAATGTTGCTGAATCTTGGCAACTTTAAGATGTGTGGACTTCAACTCTCAGAATTCCCCAAATTTCTGGGAATTGCAGTCCACCCATCTTAAAGATTATTTATGTTGTTTGAACATTTATGAAGCCACCTATCTTTCAGCCAACTTTAGGGAGCACCCAATCAAAGTTGCCACAGTTGAGAAACACTGGTCTAAACTCAATCACAGTTTTCCACCACTTCCGCCTCCCCACAGGGGTCACAGAAAATGGCAATCATTGGTCCATGTGATTCACAATGGAAGTGCAATTGTTCTGGATTGTGGTTAAGTGAATTGCATAAAGTTCCTTCAGCTAAAACATTTATCATTGTGAAATATTTTGGTCATTTCAGTTGTAAACAGATTGGAAACATAAAATTGTGGATTTCAACACAATGTACCCGATTTGCTTGTC